AGAGACATCAAAATATGCCCTAACAGTTACTTCCCCTGTGGTGCTTTGTAAAACACCATCACTATGTCGGAGTCATTTCTTTGCATCTCTCTTATCTTCAGAATGTAAAGGGCAGAGACTGTGACTCTGAGCCACACACAGCCCCCACCATGCTGGGGGCTTTCAGCACCCAGTTCAGTAATAAAAATGACAGTAGACCAAAGGGGGTTGTGATGAATGGAGCATTACCTTGGTTGTTACCAGATGTGAACCAGGTCTCAAGGGCAAACTCTGGAGCTGCTATCTGTTAGAAAGTCATATGTGCCTTGAATTGTCCATTACCCAAGTACCCAGCACCCGGTGGGCCTGGGGTGCTGAGGGCCAAAGAGGAAACTCGACCTTCTGGTGCCTGCCCCTCCCGCCCTGCCCCACCCCACCTGGCCTGCGTGCCATCAGTGGGTGTGTGCAATGAGATGCTCAGTCAGCCCTGTTGGTCTCTGACCAGTTGTGCTTGCTTCTCATAAGTTATTTATACAAAGAAATCACTAATGGACTCTACTGGTTTGAGCACTCCTGTACTGGATGAGCGATCGCTGGTATGTTTGTACAATTAATTGCCATAATAAACTTTGATGAGTCACGAGTAGTGCTGCTAGTGTTAGTCGCTCAGTCGTGTCCGACTCTTTGCATCCCCATGGACTGTAGCCCGCCAGGCTCTTCTGTCTATAAAGCTGTAGTGAATTTGAGAAGTGGCTGCCTGTGGGGGACATCGATTTTGTCAACTGAAAGGAAAATGCACAGCGTAAGACTTGTGGATTTCAGTTTTACTTGGAGACCTTATGGCAGATTATAGCCTGAGGAACAAACCCTCAGTACCTCTGAAAAGCTGCCCCAAAGAGGTAGGGCAGAAGCCAATATATGTACTTTGACTCGAGAATAGGTGCTAGTAAGCACCTCTAGGTGTCACCCTACGGTCGTTTTAGCTCCTTTATGTGTCTCCGTCTCTCCCTCTAGCAGTCTAAAACCACTGTGGGCATGCAGATGCCTGGCCAGTCTTCATGTGAGGGTCCCTGGACTAGCTAGTTTTTAAAAGGAACAAGTGGATTTCCCTATGGGACTGCTGGATATTATGAGAATTCGCCTTCACCAGTTCTGTTCATTTCTCAGTTGCCTAAGAAAGTCATGACTAGCTGGTGAGAGCTATGTCCCTTATCTTTGGAGCTGAAAACCCTTGTATGGTATCTTCACTTTTGTCCTAACAAACCCCGTTAAGCTGCCAATTTGATGAAAGATGGCAGGCCAACTGCCTGCCTAATTACCCCATCCAAACCTCAGTGTCTCTCAACTGGACGATTTTCTCAGTGTTTTCAGCTGAGCCCTTTCTTTGTATCTTTCAACTGAGAATCAGGTAACTTTTTATCTGCTACCAAATTGAACGCAGGATTGTTAGCCAAGATGAGAGCTCTGAGACTCAGGAGAGAGTCACCCAGTATTCAGGACTAGTGAGGCAGACAGGCTTAAAGGGCCCTTGTTGGTACCAGGGCTCCAGATCCTTGGAGAATATCAGGTGAAGGAGACAAGTCTGCTGTGGGTCGCTTTGTGGTCACCAAAACTGTCAACTGAAAGAAAAATGCACAGTGTAAGAGCTGTGGGTTTGTTTTATTGAGGGACCTTACAATAGGACTATTACTCAGGAAACAGCCTCTCAGTAGCTCAGAGAAGCCAGTATAGATATGGTTTTGGCTTGGGAATGTATGCAGTCAGGCACATATCTTGGTTAAAAAGAAAAAATGTGACTGTTAGTTGTGATGATCAGATAGCTCAGTTAATGATTTTAGTGTTTTTCTATACATAAAAAGTGAAAGTGAAAGTCACTCGGTCATGTCCAACTCGGCAACCTCATGGACTGTACTGTCCATGGAATCCTCCAGGCCAGACTACTGGAGTGGGTGTAGCCTTTCCCTTCTCCAGGGGATCTTGCCAACCCAGGGATCAAACCCAGGTCTCCTGCATTGCAGGGGGATTCTCTTTTTTTTAAATTTGTTTCTTTTAATTGGAGGCTAATTACAATATTGTAGTGGTTTTGTCATTCATTGACATGAATCAGCTATGGATGGACATGTTCCCCATCCTGAACCTCCCTCCCACCTCCCCACCCCATCCCGCAGGGTCATCCCAGTGCACCAGCCCTGAGCACCCTGTCTTATGCATCCAACCTCGACTGGCGATCTGTTTCACATATGATAATATACATGTTTCAATGCTATTCTCTCAAATCATCCCACCCTCGGCTTCTCCCACAGAGTCCAAAAGACTGTTCTTTACATCTGNCAGGGCAACTAAGCCCACTTACCACAACTGCCGAGCCCTCACACCCTAGAGTCCAAGCTGCACAAGAGAGGCCACTGCAATGAGAAACATGGACACTGCAACTAAAGAGGAGCCCCCACTCGCCAAAAATAAAGCCTGCACCAGCAATGAAGAGCCTGTGTGCTGCAATGAAGACCCGGTATGGCCAAAAATGAATGGACAAACAAAGCCATGATTTGAAAAGAAAAACCTCAGCCTGTTTTTCCAAAGTATGGAGTACCTTATCCTGTTTTTCATCCTTAATGCCTTTCAGGGTGCACTGGCTAATGACTTAATCCTTGTAGAACTGGGCAGTGTTCTTTGTTTTGCGATTTCTTCCACAGCCTTCAGGGTCATGCTCTGCTGAAAGGCCTGTTAGATTCACGTTCACAGAGCCCCATCTTTCTGCATATCGTCTCTTGAGCCGCTGCCCTCCTCTATTCCTTCACTCTTGGGACTTGGCTCTTCCAGTGTTTCCCTTTCCGGCTTTTGCACTCTGGCTTTGTTTCCATCCTAGGCATTTTCAGGCTGGAGCCTGCACGCTTGCGGTGTCCTGGGTGCAGAACTTGGGCGGTGCAAGGCCACAGATGCCCACTAGGTGGCGCGAGAGCCTCATCGGCGCACACGAGGGGCCTCATTACTGCCACCTTCTGGGCTGACCAGGACAGTCAACCTGTCCGCCTGTCTAGGATCCCCAGCAGGGGTCCGAGTCTTCGCATCCCATTTCTAAACGGGGATCGATCGAGGGGCAGCAGGCTGCGAAACTGGCTATAGAGCCAAGCTGTCTTCTGCCACCACCTAGCTTGCCTCCCTCTCCAGCTGACCCTGAGCTCAGTTCAGTCATCGTGAGCCCTGGAAAGGCATGTTCTGCCTTTCAGCCAGAAGAGCAGCTTTGGTTGCGTCAGGAGACCAGGCTTCTGATGGACCCTTGAATCATCCCTTCTGTTTTTCCTTCCCTGCAAGGTGTTCTCATCAGGACAGGCTGCCTGTGGGTGATGCCCAGAGATGCTGAGAATCATCAGTCTTGAATACTCAACAGGGCCACACCTTGTATTAACCTTTGATGTGCAATTATCTCATGGGCTCCTCTCAGCAGCCCTTTGGCCCCCAAGTTTAAACAAAGGGAGGAAACTGCAGGGTGGGTGGTTCAGTAACCAGGTCACTCACCTGGGGGCGTCAGGATGAGACTTGCACCCAGCTCTGATCTGGCTGCTGAGATACCTTTGTGGTTCTAGAAGTCATCAGGCCTCCTCGAGACACCACAGTCCTGAGAAAAGCTTTAGGGAACCTAAGCTGCGAACCCACCTACACTCTGGTCGGAGGGTTTCTGTCCCTTCACCCCATCCCGAACTCTGACCTTGCCTTGAAAGTGTGTCGGGGCCTGGGGATGTCAGAGCACCAGGGAAAGCTAGGAGACCCCTGGGCTGTGTAGGAAGAAGCTGAGAATCTCACAGGGTGGGGTGGGGGCACAGTCAAGTCAGGGCCTTGGGTTGGTCCCAAAGTGGTGGCCAGGGGCACCCAGGGGCTGGAGAGAGGAAGCGCCACTTTCTAAGTGGCCTGATGGAGAGTGAGGCTGGTCACTCGGGGCGGGCTGCCCCCACTGCTCTTCACTCTGGCTCTCAGGCCCTCCCCCCGCCCCCACCCCCGCCATGCATCCGCCACATGAAATCACTGGGCGTCCTCTGCCAGACCGCAGTGGGCCTCTCACTGTGTGTGGGCTGCACAGGGCCAGACCCTAAGTGTCAAGTTCAGAGCCTCACAGAGATTCCTCGCTTGGTGAGAAGGACGCTTAGCTGTTAGCTGCCACGAGGCCATCTGAAATGTCCTTTTAGGGTAGTCCCACCCAGCA